TCAACATCATTATTATTATTATCATCATCCTCAACATCATTATTATTATTATCATCATCCTCAACATCATTATTATTATTATCATCATCCTCAACATCATTATTATTATTATCATCATCCTCAACATCATTATTATTATTATCATCATCCTCAACATCATTATTATTATTATCATCATCCTCAACATCATTATTATTATTATCATCATCCTCAACATCATTATTATTATTATCATCATCCTCAACATCATTATTATTATTATCATCATCCTCAACATCATTATTATTATTATCATCATCCTCAACATCATTATTATTATTATCATCATCCTCAACATCATTATTATTATTATCATCATCCTCAACATCATTATTATTATTATCATCATCCTCAACATCATTATTATTATTATCATCATCCTCAACATCATTATTATTATTATCATCATCCTCAACATCATTATTATTATTATCATCATCCTCAACATCATTATTATTATTATCATCATCCTCAACATCATTATTATTATTATCATCATCCTCAACATCATTATTATTATTATCATCATCCTCAACATCATTATTATTATTATCATCATCCTCAACATCATTATTATTATTATCATCATCCTCAACATCATTATTATTATTATCATCATCCTCAACATCATTATTATTATTATCATCATCCTCAACATCATTATTATTATTATCATCATCCTCAACATCATTATTATTATTATCATCATCCTCAACATCATTATTATTATTATCATCATCCTCATCATCCTCATCATCATTATTATTATTATCATTATCATCATCATTATCATGATCATCATCATTATTATTATTATCATCATCCTCATCATCATTATTATTATTATCATCATCCTCATCATTATCATCATCCTCATCATCATTATTATTATTATTATCATCATCCTCATCATCATCATCATTATTATTATCATCATTTTCATCATCATTATTATCATCATCATCATCATAATCATCATTATTATTATCATCATCGTCATCATCCTCATCATCATTATTATTATTATCATCATTATTATTATTATCATCATTATCATCATCATTATTATCATCATCATTATTATTATTATCATCATCCTCATCATCATCCTCATCATCATTATTATCATCATCATTATCAACCTCATCATCATTATTATTATTATCATCATCCTCA